GAACTCTACAACCTGATTACTTAGTGTCACTCTATCTTCACATTTTATAAAACATGTAGCTTGGGGAATATAACAACTTTTTTTGTGTATCCGTTTTCCCGATTGCAAATGCGTATAAAACTGACTAACATAGTTATTGCAATGATTGAATTAGTCAATATTTGCATAGAAAATAGCAAGCATTCACTATATGGTAAAAGCAATTATATTTACTCATAGATTCTAAAAAAAGTCATTGAAAAAACTAATGTAACTTTCTTTAAATAATGAGCAATAAATATCTATTATAAAAGAACAAGGCCAGGAGTGGTAGCTCACGCCTGTAATTCCAGCACTTTGGGAGGCCAAGGTGGGTGGATCACTTGAGGTCAGGAGTTCAAGACCAGCCTGACCAACATGGTGAAACCATGTCTCTACTAAAAATACAAAAACTAGCCAGGTATGGTGGTGTGTGCCTGTAGTCCCAGCTACTTGGGAGACTGAGGCAGCAGAATCTCTTGAACCTGGGAGGCGGAGGTTGTAGTGAGCCAAGATCACACCACTGCACTCCAGCCTGGGCGATAGAGTGAAATTCTGTCAAAAAGAAAGACAGAAAGGCAGAAAGGCAGAAAGGCAAAAGAAAGAAAGAAAGAAAGAAAGAAAGAAAGAAAGAAAGAAAGAAAGAAAGAAAGAAAGAAAGAAAGAAAGAAATTGAGAGAGAGAGAGAAAGAAGGGAAGGGAAGGGAAGGGAGAAGAGAAGAGAAGAGAAGAGAAGAGAAGAGAAGAGAAGAGAAGAGAAGAGAAGAGAAGAGAAGAAGGAAGGAAGGAAGGAAGGAAGGAAGGAAGGAAGGAAGGAAGGAAGGAGAAAGGAACACACAGGAAGGAAGAAAAGGAAGGAAAGAAGGAAGGAAGGAAGGAAAGAAGGAAGGAGCTTACAATATAAAGTAAAAGACAGGATTTCTGAGATCATTTTAGAATAAATAACAACATTTCTCAAAATTAGATTAACTCTTTTTGAATCTGATAATATTACCACATTACAACTCAAATTACAGAACATTAAGCCACACTAGATTATTATATTTGTTTATCAGACACTCAACAAATGAATGAATTATTTGCAGTGGAAAAAATTGAATGGATTCAGAAGGAAAGTGGAAGGAAAAGCAGATACAATGGTTCAGAGAAATATGAGTTTTGCAAATATCCTGTAATCCAATATGTGATGTTTTCTCTCTCCTGTATTTTTAGCCTTTTTATTCATAGGCTTCATCTTCTTATCTAACGTACTTGGTTAGAACAATTCCCTTGTTGAAAGAAAACCAAAACCTATCATTGTTTGTACTTCTTCATGCTACCACTGTCTATTTGCTTTGAATAAAAAATAATTTAAAATATGGTTAATATCTATGTTTCCTCTTTAAATCCCAATAATTGTATTTTCAATACAAAAATTTTATTGAAATTACTTTCTTCAAGATTACCACTTATTTCCTCCAAATTGAATAAAAAGTTTTCCATTTTTATTATTTGTTTGTGTTTTCCTTTCATCTTTTAGCTATCTGTAAGAGTTGGCTGGGCAACAGCTGATCTTGATCATCTGAGTTCCCAATATTGATGAGTATGTCATTGTACTGGTTTGTCTCTTGTTCCGTGACTATGATTACTCCTCTATCTCATTGTTCCAGACTCTTTGTGTCCTCTGGAGCCCTTAGTGCATGCAACACTCACCAACGTTACAGATGTAGGACTCCGTGTTTTGTTTAACAAATTAGTTTTTCTTTGCATTGTATAGTATTATTACTTCATCTGTCACATCTATGCAAAGAATGAGAATGTCCTCAATACTTGTTATGAGAGCCAGTACATAGAGTGGTAGATGGAGTGATTTAGTGGATAAGAGACCAGTGCTTTTTTGGTAAGAAAGGAGATACAGAGGTACACAATCTTTGTCCAAATCATCTCTTCTTCCTTCAGGAGGAAAATCAGTAAACAGAAATGATAAATAATGGCCCATTACTGCCTAAAATTCACCAATTTCAAAATAGAATATATTATTCCCTTTTTCTGTAACTGGCTCTGTGTTTTTCCTAGAGACTCAAGCTTTAAGCTTGGAGTAATTTTCAGGTCTTCCCTTTTTCTGTCATATTTTATGAATGCAATTGAAAATCAATTTACCAAGAATGCATACCCTACATTACCGAAAATTTAACTGTAGCTAATATGGGTTGAATTGTGTCCCTCAAAAGTTATGTTGAAGTCCTAACCTCTAATACCTCACAATGTGACTTGTTTGGAAATGGAGTCATTGCAGATTTAATTAGTTATGTCAAGATGTGGCCATACTTCAGTACAGTGTGCCCTTAATCCAACATAACTAATGTCTTTACAATAAGAGGAGAGACAGAAACACAGAGAGAATCCTGTGTGACAGCAAAAGGGAAGATTGGACTGATGTGCCTGCCAGTCAAGGGATGCCAAGGATGTATGGCCACCAACAGAAGTTAGGAAGAGATAATGAAGGTTGTCTTCTAGAGACTTCAAGAAAACGTGATTCTACCAACACCATGACTTTGGATTTCTATTCCCCAGAGTCGTGCAGCAATAAATTTCTGTGTTTAAGCTACCTAGTTTGTTATACTTTGCAGTGGCAGCCCTGGGAAAGTGATAGGATGGCATTTCTCATTTCTCAATCACTAAATATATGTGAGCCCACATAGTGTTCTTGACTTTCTATTGAAAGTTATCTACTTGTTCAGTTTCTAATTGTGGTTATGTTTATTTTTCTGTGTATTTTTATCAGTTGTATTAGATACAGTGCATATATCGTGAAGCTCTAATATTACATGCATCTATGTTTAGATCTTCTTGATGAATTCACTGCATTACTGTTATAAAATGATTTTTATATCCTTTGTGATATTCTTTTCTCTAGAACCAACTTAACATTCCAGTTTTTGTTTGATTAATGTATATTTATCCTGATATATTTTTATACCATGATATTAAGATAGTATATTTCTTCTATTATTATAATCTGTGTGTGTCTGTGATCTAGTCAACATATGTTGGTGTCACCTTTTTTTTTTAATCAAATATGATAATACCTTCTTTTAATTGAGATATCAAGACCATTTAAGTTATTGGTGGTATAGTTCATTTTAAATAAATCCACTTTGCTATGTATTTTCTTTTCTTTCTTTCTTTCTTTTTTTTTTCTTTTTTTTTTTTGGAGACAGAGTCTTGCTCTGTCACCCAAGCTGGAGTGCAGTGGTGCAATCATGGCTCACTGTAAGCTCCGCTTCCTGGGTTCAGGCCATTCTCCTGCCTCAGCCTCCTGAGTAGCTGGGACTACAGACGCTCACCACCATGCCCGGCTAATTTTTTATACTTTTAGTAGAGACGGGGTTTCACTGTGTTAGCCAGGATATGGTCTTGATCTCCTGACCTCGTGATCTGCCTGCCTTGGCCTCCCAAATTGCTGGGATTACAGGTGTGAGCCGCCACGCCAGGCCACTTTGCTATGTATTGTCTATTAGTCCTATCTGTTTTTTGTATACTTTTTTCTTTTTCTGCCTCTTGAAAGTATATTAAGTAGACAATTCACTCCTGAACAACCTGAGTTTGAACTGCATAGGTCTACATATATATTAATATTTTTCAGTAAATGCGTTGTAAAATATTTGAAGATTTACAACAATTTGAAAACAATCCTAGACAAAACACATAGCCTGAAAATACAAAAAATAAAACAGTTAGATATGTCATGAATGAATAAATTATATATATTAAGAGAATCAATGAGAAGAAAGAATATCTGCCTGAACAAGGTTTTCATTCAGTTGAAAGTGCTCTATTCTGGGAAAAATATTCCAAAAAGACATTTATGAGTATGGACGAGAAGCTATTACCAGGACTTGAGGCAGAAAAGTTTAAGCTAACTCTACTGTTTGGTGTAAATGCAGTTGGGTTAGTGGTAAGGACTGTCCTCATTTAAAAAGCTGCTAAACTCAAACCTTGAAGGAAAATGATAAACACCAGGTGCCAGCCTTTTCGTTGTATAACAAGAATGCCTGGCAAGGAGAACCTTTCTTCTGGATTGGTTTCATTGATGCTTAGTCCCTGAAGTCAGAAGTTCCTCAACAGTAAAGGGATTGCCTTTGAAAATTCTTCTGGTATTGAACAATATCCCTAGCCACCCGGAACTCCATGAGTACAATACTGAAAGTATTGAAGTGGTCTACTTGTTTCCAAATGCAATGTATTTGATTCAGCCTCTAGATTAAGGGAGTCATAAGGCCCTTTAAGGTTCACTATAAATGATACAGTATGAAAGGGTTGTCAACATTATAGAAAAGATCCTCCATAGAGAGAACATCATGAAAATGTGCGATGATTACACTATTGAAGATGCATTCTTGTTACAGAAAAGCTGTGAAAGTTATCAAGCTCAAACCAATAAATTTCTGCAGGAGAACTGTGTTCACCAGATTTACAACAGAGCCAATCAAGAAATAATGAAAGAGACTATGGATGTAGTTAAAAGAAAAAGAAAAAGAAAAGAGAAAATGAGTGTAAAGCATTTTAAGATATGAATCTTAGAAAATTTCAAGATCTAGTAGACAACACACTATAGGAATTAGCAGAAGACAACCTGATGAAGATGAGTGTGTCTAAACCATCGCCAAACAATAAGGATGTATAGGAAGCAATGTCAGAAAACAAATTGACATTAGACAATTTGGCAGAAACATTCCTATTTTTCATTTTTTTTACTTGTTTTACCACATGGACACTTCTATGATGCAGACACTGAATCTAAAGAAAATAGTAGAAAAAGAATTGGCACCATATAGAAACATTTTTAGAGAAATGAAAAAGCAAAACCATCAGACAGAACTTATGATGTATTTACATAAATTTACACAGCCTGGACCTGACTCCCCTTTTTATCATCACTCTTTACATCTCTGTGACACCTAAGACAGCAAGACTAACCCCTTCTTTTCCTTCTTTTCCTTAGCATACTCAATGTGACAATGATGAGGATGAAGACTTTTATGACGATCCACTTCCACTTAATAAACAGTAAGTATATTTTCTCTTTTCTTTGATTTTCTTAATTTTTTCTTTACTCTGGTCTACTTTACTGTAAAAATAAAGCATATATATGATATATATGGTTATATATGATATATACATGTATCATACAAAATATGTATTGTTCAATTGTTTATGTTACCTGTAAAGCTTCTGGTCAATAGTAGGCTATTAGTAGTTAAGTTTTTGGGAAACCAGAAGGTATATATAGATTATTGACTATGCAGGGGGTTGACACAGCTAATCCTTGCATCGTTCAAGGGTCAAATGTATTTTATTATTTTATTTTGTTTTGGATTTTGGCAAAATTTTTGTTGTGTTACTTTAGTTATTGTTTATTTTAGTGCACAAGTATAGCTTATCATGAGCTATATTCAAATGATATTTTACCTTTCTGTGTTTAAAATAAGAATTTATAACAGTAGCCTTTCAGCAATTGTCATATGTTTTATTCTTACATATGTTGTAAAGAAGGATAGGTACACTGTATACTATGGACCACATTTAACAAATGGCCTGTATTTTTTATAATCTCAGGAAAAAAAATAAAGTTTTTTTTCCTTTTTAAAATGTTATGAAACAAACAGAATAATGTTCAACAGAGAACAAATAGGTTCTACAAAGCCTAGACTACTATCCTCTACCCCTTATAAATCCCTGCAATGTGTTGCCATAGCTTTTCCCATATACAATAAATTAACTTTTAAAGAGCTTTATTTTAAATGCCCATTGTATCAATATTTTTTATTTTCTTCATTCCTATGTGTAGATTCAGATTTTTATTCAGTATTTTACATTGCTACCTGGAGGATCCCTCATTATTTCTTAGAGTGAATGAAGTTGTTTCAGTTTTTGTACATCTCAAATAGTTGAGTCTCCCCCAATTTCTGAAAATTATTTTCCCTGATTTTAAAATTTTAGACAGATGATACTTTATTTTTATTTCATTACTATACAGAGCTCCTCACTATCTTCCAGTTCACAATATTTCCAAAGAAAAGGCAGCTGTCATTCTTATATTTGTTCATTTGTTCATTTTTTATCTGGCTGCTTTTGGAATTCTCCCTTTATAACAGATTTTCAATAATTTTATGGTAATTTTGTGTAGTTTTCTTCTTGTTTCGTGTGTGTTCTTTAATTTGTGTATTTATAATTCCCTTCAATTTTGGATAATGTTGGGCAATAATTTTTTGAAACATTTCTTCCAATCTTGACTTCCTTTGAGGAAATCCAGTTATACATATATTAGGACACAAACATACATACCCATCACCTCATTTATATTTGATATTAATAAGTGTGTTTGTTTTCTAGTCATTCTTTTCTGTGTTTCATGTTGGATCATTTTTATTACTTTGATCAATAATACCTTTTGCTACAATAAATAACCTTCTCTTAATTCTATCTAGTGTAGTGTTCATCTCAGTCATTGTGGTTTTCACTTTTAGAAGTTTCATTTGGGTCTCACTGTACTTTCCATGTCTCTAATTTACATGTTACAGTTTTCCTCTAGCTTTGTGGATCTATGAAATACCATTGTATCTGTTTTAATGCCTTCTATGCTGATACCAACAGGTTTGTCATTTATGTTACTTTTGATTGGCTAATGTAATCCTTATAATAGGTTTTATCATTCTGCTTCTTTTTATGCCTTGCCAAATTTTTTAAAAATTTTTTTCATTATGCTTTAAGTTCTAGGGTACATGTGCAAAATGTGCGGTTTTGTCACGTATGTACACATGTGCCATGTTGGTGTGCTGCACCCATTAACTGGTCAGCACCTATCAACTCGTCATTTACATCAGGTATAACTCCTAATGCCATCCCTCTCCCTTCCCCCCTCCCCACGATAGGCCCCACTGTGTGATGTTCCCCTTCCTGTGTCCAAGTGATCTCATTCTTCAATTCCCACCTATGAGTGAGAACATGCGGTGTTTGGTTTTCTGTTCTTGCGATAGTTTGCTGAGAATGATGGTTTCCAGCTGCATCCATGTCCCTACAAAGGACACAAACTCATCCTTTTTTATGGCTGCATAGTATTCCATGGTGTATATGTGCCACATTTTCTTAATCCAGTCTGTCACTGATGGACATTTGGGTTGATTCCAAGTCTTTGCTATTGTGAATAGTGCTGCAATGAACATGCATGTGCATGTGTCTTTATAGCAGCATGATTTATAATCCTTTAGGTATATACCCAGTAATGGGATGGCTGGGTCATATGGTATTTCTAGTTCCAGATCCTTGAGGAATCGCCATACTGTTTTCCACAATGGTTGAACTAGTTTACTATCCCGCCAACAGTGTAAAAATGTTCCTATTTCTCCACATCCTCTCCAGCACCTGTTGTTTCCTGACTTTTTAATGATTGCCATTCTAACTAGTGTGAGATGGTATCTCATTGTGGTTTTGATTTGTATTTCTCTGATGGGTCTGGCCAATTTTGATTGGATTATAAGCATTGAAAACTTTATGTAATTGATTGCTGGGTATGTTTTTATTCATACAAAAACGTTCCTGTAATCATGCAGACAAAAATTATTTAGCTTTCTTCTGGAATGTGTTTAAGTTACTTAAAAAGAGTTTGATACTATTGTAACATGGTGAGGTTTTCTTAATTTTTTTGGGGGGGGACAAGAGAAAGATTTACTCTGTGTCCAATTTTTCTCTAATACTGAGGCAAGACTCTTCTGAGTAAGATAAGTAGTGTGTTATAAATTATGAGGGTTTACCCTCCCCATCTGTGGAAAAATTGTCTTCCATGAAACTGGTTCCTGATGCCAAAATGGTTGGGGACTGCTGTTCTAAAGATCTGCAGAGCTATCTCTCGGAGCAACTCTCTTTTCTGATACTAAGGCCTGTTAATTGCAGCTTCCTTAGCTTCTCTAGAATGCCAGCTTCATCTCCTCATGTAAGGGAGACTCAGGCTGCATTTGTTTTCTTCCTTTTGGCAACACAGCCTGAAAATATGGGGCAGTTGGAAGACTCTATTTGTTTTCAAAATCTCAGGTGCCATTGTCTTTTGTTGCTTGTTCCAATGTCTTAAGAACTATTGTTTCATTTTAAAAAAATATTTATCAGTTATTTCAAGCAGAAGTAAAAGGTTGGTGTCAATTTCTCCATCTTGAATGGACATAAAATTTCCAATATTCTATTTTGAACTCAATTTGTAGTGGATTATTAATATAGTCATAAAAAGAATTACTTTATCTGCAGTCTAGATAAAATATATTACATTATGCTCCACTTCATTAAAAATATATTACTACCCCTGGAATATTTAGCTGAGTGCAAATAAGCCCACAAGTGCGAGAAAACTACTAAAGGCTGAGAAAATTAAGATAACATTTAAGCATGATATACATAAGTAAAAATATGACAGCTATATACTAGTCAATAAACAAGATGCTGTTAGAATATACATCAAGGCCTGAACATTTTCCCAGAGTTAGTGAAAGTCTCATTAAGAAAGTGATAATCGTTATCCACAATAGGAAAAATGACTTCCCTGATTACATAAAAGTAATCAATAAATACAGCTTTGAATAATACTTAATATGTAAGCAATCTTTAAGACAATGCACATAAGATAATCATCATACATATTTTGGTGAAAAGTCTTTTGTGTGACTCCTTCCCTTCATGCTATTAGATGCCATGTAATAATGATGGAGTCAAGTAACATTCTCATGTATCTAGAGAAGTTCATATCTGCATTTAATTAAGATATACAGAAAAACAAATGGGAACATTGTATTTAATCTTAGAATATCAAATAGAAGGAAGGAAACTATACCTATGATTCACTTATTTAATATCATTCAAATACACTAAATACAGTAAATACACTTCTCTACAGACACTACCAGCACCTTGCTTCATGGTATTCTCATCTCCTACTTTATCATTTTCATGGCTTACTTATTACTCCGTGTGGACCCAATCTTCATTCCAATTCATTCTGTATGTTCTTGCATACTAGTATTTTTAAATTCTATTTTAAAAAGTTTTTTTTCCCACTGATGAATAACCTTCAATGAGTTCTCATTATCAGCAGGATAAAAGCCAGCCTTTCTAAAATGATACTAAATGCTCATCAAAATCCAGACCACAAATGAATGGATGAAAAAAAATGAACTAATCATATTAATTTTTTCATCCTCAAATGTTGGAATGGTGATTCATCCGTAGTAGGTGCTCAAAATTATATCTATTTCATGGTTGGATATTTAACAGATAAGGACTTTTCTCTTTTTTAGTTTTTTTTTTTTTTTTTTTAGTATATTGCTTTAGTGAAGAAATACGTAGAAATTATTATTGTTCCAGCAGGTAGATGAAAAACAGCATTACTGAGTCAAGCACTGGGCCTGGCATAGCTTGCACCTAAGCAATGTTTATTGAATAAATGACTCTGCATTTATGTATTACTTGGATTAATATTGTAAAAAATATGAAATAAAATAGTGTATACCCTGGACACTTAACGCCATTCACACAAATGTTGCCCAGGAGGTCTGCAGCATAGTTAATTCTAAATTTATTCAGTTCTCCTGCCTTCTTATATAAAATAGTACTTCTTTCATGCTGCATTATTTTTTGTGTCTTAATATGGTTCTTAACTTCTCTCATTATCTGCCATTATGTTACATTTATTACATAACATAAAGTGAATGTAAGGATTTTATTATTTTATATACTACTACTTGTCTAATACCAAAAATAGCACTTAGAGTATAGCAAAGATTCATTAAATAACTGTTAAATGAGTGAATACATGAATGAAAGCTTTCAGAGACCTCCCTCTTTATTCTTAATTAATTTCCATCACTATTAGAACGAGGACTCAATTTTGCAGTTAATAAATTAGATGAAATCTAGAAGATAGAATTGTTGGGGGAAGGGAAACATTCTCAGTATCATTGCTGGTCATTGAAATTTTGAAGACATATCTTCACATATTTTAGAATGATGCACCAACATGGCACATG